GACAATGTTCATTTGGGGCTTTTCAACCTGCCATCCGCAAAGAGCTTCTAAAAACCACGCATAGAGGTCTTTGATTTCCGAATCAGTGCGCAGAGCAACTTGCTCAGTGCCTCGGAAACACCGAAAAGTTAAACCATTCCAGTAAACCTGTTGATGGGTCAAATTGACAGACGCAGCTGGGCCACCACCGCTCAGCTGGCCGTAATTTACGAAGGTTGCGTGGGCTGAAAGACAGCTTGCGATTTTTTCTCCCGACTGTCCAAACACGGAGTCTAGGCCGAGCATGATACGTTTCCCCTTTAAAATTTCTGCGTTTGGTAATTCCGATTCGTTGAGAACAATGTCGGCTGCAGTGTTCCAGGTTGTTCCCGGCGAACGATCGCGAATAACGGATATCACTTTCACCCCACGCAAATGCGCAAGCTGAGAAATCATCTGCGAAATGGCTCCCAGCCCTGCATTTTGAATAATCCAGTCACCCGGCTTCAGCTGCTTCATATCCTCGAGTAGCAAATAGGCTGGGAGCACACAGGTTTTGAGAATTGCCGCAAAGGTAACGTCCGGCGTGGGGGGAATCGCGATCAAATCGTCCGCTATCAATGTTGCATGTGTACGCCATGTCCCTAAACCCAGGGCTTTTGGGATGACAAGATCACTTGGGGTAAGTTTGGTGACATCTTTGCCACACTTCAAAACTCGGCCCACACCGTCAAAGCCCCCCACGTGGTTCCCGTTAAGTTGGAATTTTGGCTTGATGGGATATCTCCCAGCGATAACCAGCAAGTCAAGATGGTTAACTGGTGCAGCAAGGAATTCGATTAGAACCTCATTGTCCTTTGGCTCCGGTTGCGGATAATTTTCCAGTAAAAGAGCTTCTGCTGCTTGCCAGCTGGGCTTCGCGAATGTCAAGGCTAAAGGCATAGCTAGGGGATAGAGGATGAATGGCTGATGGCAGTGTCTGAAAAGATGAGCCGGCAAGAGGAGTGTCAAAGCAGTTGGATGAGCGTATTGCGTAAAGGAGGAAATAGCAAGGCGAATGTTTTCTTCTCAAATGGGGCTATAATCTTTGCCCATCCAAGTCGCAGCAATCGTCGCAGCGATGAGATAATAGTGTCGAATTGAGCAAATACGTATTCATCCAGCTTGCCGAGAGGGGTATGTTATTAGTCTATAAAAAGAAAAAGAGTAACATCGGAACACAAGATTTGGCTATCTTTAGAGTGTAACTAATGGCTGTACTAGGCCAGGGCATCCCCATGGACATGGCAGTCAGCATGTCCCCTGTGCGGTGTCTTCCAGGCATGCTGTTGTTTAGGATCAACGAGAATGCGAAATAGCGATGAGTTACTCCGTACAATACCACGCAGTAATCTAAAACGATTTTGGAAATTAAATTGGCCAATTGCCATGAAGACTGAGTTGCAAAACGATCCCGGTTGATCTCACTCGTGTTAGGTGGTCTGTGGGCGCTTAAATTCATGAATACAGCCAATAATTACCGGTAATATATTTCGCTTGGTCGCGGCCGAGGATATTATATTATCACCAGGCATATTATCGTCACTTATGTGAATCTCATTGGTAATGAACCATTTAAACATCGACTCCTTATCCTACTATAGCCCTGCCGAGCGCTGCTTACAACTGTACTATTCTTCCATCAGGAAACGGGACAATAAGACATGCTGGACGTGGGATATATTCCAGGACTGACTATGATGCCTATATTTAGTGCCATGTGTGCTGCCGTTGTCTCCGTGGCTACCATAATATCGACTCTGCGGTTAATTTCCCTAAAATGATGAGCAGTCGGCACTGGAAACGGCACGAGTGCATGGCTTTCATGCCGGAATCGCACAAGAAGCCTTCTCGTGCTAGGAATGCAAATGCCCAAATTTGGCGGAAACAGAACCACCATGGTGTATTCACGAACGCTCTGGATATCTAAGTAAGACCTCAACTCCGTCTCCAGCTCCTTAGAATGTGTAAACTATACTTAGTTACCTCGTAGCTAACGTCGGCTGATACCAAACCGCACGACCTGGCAGGCTCAGATCATATATCTCGTCTGACGCCAACAAACATACATTTGCAAATGAATGCAGTAATATGCTAGGTTTCAATTACCTCGTGTGAGTGGGCCCCTGACTTTTATTTTCCATAGTTGCATGGCTGATGATACCCTACTACGATCCAACGGCCAGGAACCATGTAGATTGTTCCGAATAATGGCATTCGAAAACATTTTTCTGTCTTTCTTCTTGACCTTTCTTGCAATCAGGGGCTGATCCAGTAACTCAGCCACGGTAGCCGCTTCTCCAGGGCGTAAACCTAGTTGAATTGCTGCTGGTCAATGGCAAGAAGAATACGACCAACCCAAAAATAATGGCAGACTCAGCACAGCAATGTTATTACTCCTAGCGTTGGGTATTCCCAGTCACCCCATGGTGCTGTATAAATACTTCTCCGTAGGTGTGCACTTGATGCGGAATCGCTCGTTATAAACAATCAAAGCTCAAGTTCAACATAACTAGTTCTTAAAGATTTGGTGCTATTGTTAACGAACATACTATTTTGCCTGTTGATTTTTCCAAATTTGGGAAGATCCTATCCTGTCTTGAGAAAAAAGAAAAGAAAGAAGAGGATCGACGAGGGTATCTCAAGATGGTAATTTCAGAGTACCAGGAGGAAATCCAGTGTACCGGGCAACAACGCAAATACCTTTCTCATACGATCACTGGAAATCAGCAAACATACGTTCTGCGCTGGAATACACGTCCACTTTGCCCAAGCATCGATCGGCTTGTATACACTTGGCAAGCTGTTGCTAGCCATAATCCTGTCCTTCGAACATCGATCAAATATTCTGGAACCGACCAAGAGCCCCGCCTCGTTGTTCTCAGGAGGGCTGCTCCAATTCGCATAGAAGGGTTCTCCAATCATGGCGCATACAAATCCTCCTCGCTGAAGACTGCCGAACTCACTGTTATCCTGAGCGAAACTGGTGTTTCCTTCCGTCTCCGTATCCTCCAGGCGTTAGTTGACCGCAGATCCCTCGCTCTTGTATGTCGGGACTTTGATCTCTTTTATCAAGGTCTATCCTGCGAACCTCACGATCATTTTAAATACTATATCAGTCACATCGCCCAACGCGAGACCCAGAATGCGGAATCGTATTGGCGCAATTTGATGAATGGGTCAGTGACCTCGCTATCCTACGGTTTCCCAACGAATATCTCTGGAATGAGGAAGACATTCATCTCCGATTTGCATGAGACCTTGGTGAGATCTATATACGACTTTTTGGGTGTTTATTCTGTGTCGGCGCGAGATTTTGTCCATGCACTATGGTCGCTTGTTCAGTATCGGCATACCGCAGCCACTGATGGCACTACCTTTTTCGCTGTCACCGGTCGAGATACCAGCGTTCCAGGCTATGATACAGTTGTTGGGCCTGCTGAATTATACTATCCGTTAAAGGTAGTGATTGAAAATGATTTATCGCTACTTAGTTGGATTCGAAAGGTTTCCAAAATTGACCAACAGGCTTCGCAGAATGCCTACATAGGATATGACAAAATCCAGGACCAAATCTTACCTCTAAAAGCGCAAGTGTGTATAACTGTATCCGACAGCCTTGATATTATTGAGGAAGGCGACTGTGATATTCGCTTCCCTTTAACAATCAACGTTGATCTTGAGCGACATTTGGTCAATATGCAATATTATTCTGAGACATCAGAAGATCACAATTTACAGGTTATTTTCAACCATTTCATCGCTTTAGTGGAAGAGGCCATTCGAGACCCTAAGGCCATTGTGTCGGGCATTGACATTGTACCAAAGGAGGAAAAGGAGTTCCTATTACAGTGCAGCGAGCCCGTTACCTTGCCCGCCACCGGCCTCATCCATGAACTCTTTGAGCGTCAAGCCGAATTGAATCCGCAACGCGAATGCCTAAACTTCGAAGGCCAAATGGACTTTACTTATGGGGAACTCAATAAATTATCCAATCAAGTTGCTCGCCAGCTTGGTTGTGGTCGGGGCGATTACGTACCCATTTGCATGGACCGTTCACCTGCATTAATCGTCTCTATATTGGCCATCCTAAAAACGGGGGCTGCCTACGTTATTCTGGACCCTGAAAGCCCCGTCGAACGGAATTCCTTCATTGTCACTGACGTTCAAGCACCATTTGTTATAACAGATCGGATTTCAGCAATCAACTTTGCATATCCTCTGTTGATCGAAACCCTGATAGCGTTGACTCCCCGCTTCGATGGCTCAAATATGGGCGTCCGTCAAGAGGCAACCGACATATGTTATGTGATATATACCTCTGGCTCAACAGGGAAACCAAAAGGTGTTTTGTTAGAGCATAAATCGGCATACACAGGCCTGATGGCGTTCCCAATTCTGCCAAACCTTCGCCAACTTCTTTTCCATAATCCTATTTTCTCTGCCGCACAGCGTTCAATTTTCTCCACATTGAAGCAGGGAGGCTGCTTATGCCTGGCCAAGAAAGAAAATTTGACCGTTCGAATTACTGAGATGATCAATTCCATGCGCGTTAACGTCATAGATGTGACGCCTTCAACGGCGACTCTTATTGACCAAACACGTGTTCCCACTCTCCGTCGAATGACTGTTGCGGGCGAGTTGATCAACCCTGCCCTCCTGCCGGTCTGGATGGACAAACTTGAACTCCTCAATGCATATGGCTTAAGTGAGGTTACACAGATAAACTGGCGCCACGTTATGCATCCCAAACAAAACCCCCAAAACATTGGTCGCCCTGTCGATTCAACACGCTCCTATGTTCTCATCCCGGGAACGACACAACTTGCTGCGATACTTGAGCCGGGAGAATTATGTCTTGGTGGTCACCAACTTGCGAGGTCATATCTTAACCGTCCTGAGAAAACGCGGGAGTCTTTCATACAAAATCCATTTGGTCCCGGTCGCCTTTATCGGACAGGCGATATGGTTGTCACCCATGCCGATGGCAGTATTGAAATGATTGGTCGTATAGACTTCCAAGTAAAGATCAACGGCCAGCGTGTCGAACCGGGTGAGGTCAACTGCTACATCCAGCAACATCCCGATGTTTTTGATTCGTGGACTGTGTCCGCGACAATAGGAAACCAAAAATCACTCGTCGCAGTTGTGGTGCCCAGAGGCGAAAGAGACTGGTCAACCCTTGTCCAGAGTTTGCAGAAAATACTTCGAGACTGCGTCCCATCATACATGGTTCCTGCATATTGGTGGAAGCGAGATTGTCTGCCACTGAACGTCAACGGCAAGGTTGATGTTTCTCTACTTTGCAGGCTTGTACAGGCGATTCCACCAGAAGAACTGCTCGCCCGTTCAATTGCTCAGAGCCAACACATAAACCGGTGTCAACTCACTCCAATGGAAAGCTCACTAAGGCGGATATGGGCAGAGGTTTTATATTTTGCCTGAATCAAGTATAAATTTGGAAGACTCTTTTCTGAATCTCGGCGGTTCTTCTCTCTCTCACATCGTCGCTGCATCACATGCCTTCAACGAGCTGATCGAAGTAAAAGTTCACGATATCTTGCTTCAAAACAGTCTGCTTGAAGTTGCGAGAACGCTGCAGGAGAATCCAAAACCAAATATTACGGGTAGAACCGTTCTCTCTTCTTCCTGAAAGTTACATTGCCCCTAACGGAATTGAAGACCCTTGGCCTTCTACCCCCTCTCAAGAGCCTTTAATTGCTGATGTAATGCTTGGAGGGACCAAATATCTCTATAATAGGGTGGTAACGTTGAAGATACTAGTAAAGATCTATGGACTGTCGCCCTAAAGAAGCTCCTGGAAGCCGATTCCTTTCTCAGAAGCATCTTTACTCCTTACGGAAAAACATATCTTCAAACCATTCCCAAGGAAAGCCCTTTGCCATGGCAAGAGCTAGACATGAAACTGGCTGAGTACCTGGAGATAAGGCCAGTCACCGTCGCCATGGGAGGGCCATTTTTTAAAGTCACTGCACTTTCCACTGGGGAACTAGTTTTTACAATGCACCATGCTCTCTTTGATTTTTGGTCCAGCCGCTTTATATTTGATGATTTGTCCAATTTGATCCGCACACGCCCTGTGGCTAATCGCCCCAAATACAATAAACTTGTCCAATACCTCTCCCAGAAGGACAAAACCTCAAGTCAACAGTACTGGCGCAGCTATCTCAAGGATTCCAAAACATCAAGATTGGGACACACACCAGGCCCAAATACTATCACCAAACTGAACCTGAAGACTCCAATCCCTTCAACCAGTAAAACCATAGGGGTATCTACTGGTTCGATCTTGTATGCATCATGGGCACTAGTCCTATCCCATGTTCTTGGAAGCTCCGAAGTGATTTTCGGTATCACACTATTTGGCCGAGATGTGCCAGTTCCAGATATTCTGCTTATGGAAGGGCCGGCGGTTGTGCAAGTTCCCTTACGGGTTAAGATTTCGAACTCCTCATCCATTGGCAAAGTTGCGAAAGACATCCACACCCAAATAAAATCGGTGGTAGATCATGCGCATTACGGACTGCGAAATATCTTGCTTGCCGCGGATCAGCCAGCTAGTTTATTTGACACTTCTGTTAATTTCTTGGTGAAGCCGCCTTCGTCCGATGCAGACGACACCTTTAACCTTGTTTCTGATGAACAACCTGGACTTACCGATTATATCAAACTCGAGGCACAGGACTCGGACCTTACCAGCATATCTTTATCGTCGACTCTAGATCCCAAGTTCGCACAGCAAATTCTCTCTGGGCTGGCATCTGTTGTTGATGCCTTTTTCTTCGATGCAGAGACCCCTGTTAGTTATCTGAGACTGGAAGCAGTCCTGAGTTCCACCTCCCAGAAACACCCCACACTCAAACCCCAGGATACTAATTCTGGATTTGCACATTCGCTTTTTGAGGATATGGTTTCTCGTTTCGGAGACAAAACCGCTTTAGAGGACGAACATGGAAGTGCTGTGTCGTATACGCAGTTGAATCAACGAGCGAATCAATTAGCTAATTTCCTTCGATCCAGGGCAATCCTCCCAGAAGATATCGTTCCTATCTGCTTGGATAAGTCAATTGATATGGTAGTTGCCATACTTGGGATTTTCAAAACTGGTGCAGCATTTTGCGCCTTGGACCCAACAAGCCAACCATCACGAAACCAATTTATCTTGAAGAAAATCGGAGCAAAATTGATTATCACCGATCCTGCCAGCTCTTACTCTTTGGAGTGCTTTCGTTGTGAGCATGTGGTATTGGATCAACTGGATACGTTTCAATTCAGTTGCGAAAACGTTGTGCCGACGATGTCTCCTGATAGTCTTGCTTATGTGATTTTCACCTCTGGAAGTTCTGGTGACCCAAAAGGAGTTCTTATCACTCACAACAATGCTTTCAATGCCAGCAAAGGAATGATCGAAGCAACGGGAGCGAATGATTCATGGAGATCGCTGTGGGCCCTCAACTATATTTTCGATGGATCCTACTTTGACCTTTTTGCAGTACTTGGCTCTGGTGGCACACTTTGTTTGGTCAGTCAATCCAGAGTATTTTCAAATCTTGCTGGATTCATCAATCAATTCGATGTTACTCACGTTAACGTGACCCCAACAATCGTCAACAAACTCCTCAATCCCTCAGATGTACCTAATTTAAAGGCCCTCGTCGTAGGTGGAGAACCCCTTGTGCCCGAGATCTTGGAGACCTGGGCACCTCTCCTTCCTGTTTATAATAACTATGGACCGACAGAGGGAACCATCCTAGCGACAACTGCGCTTATAGAGCCAACCAGCACCATCAACGATATTGGCACGGCATTATCCACCTCAATTGTGTCCATCCTCGAGTTTGACTCAAAGTCCCCAGCACCTTTGGGAGAACTGGGTGAGCTCTGTTTGGGTGGTCCACAGGTAGCGCGCGGTTATTTGGATAACCCCGACGCAACTCATGCGGCATTTTTTTCTCAAGATGATGGATCGAGAATATATCGAACTGGCGATGTTGCTCGTCAGCTCTCCGACGGCCGTTTTGAGCTGTTCGGCCGAAGGGACAACCAAGTCAAGGTCAACGGCTACCGGATAGAACTTGGTGAAATTGAGAGTGCCATCCTCAGGACCGGCTTGGTGAAGACTTGTGTGGTTCTAGCAGCGAAAGTACACGGCAAGACCCAACTTGTTGCGATCTGCCAACTGCTTTCCGATTTCCCTGACAATATCGAGGAGAATATCACACCCTTATTGCCGCCTTCAGAAGCACACTCCTTCCAAGATTTGCAAACGAGGCTGGTTACTCTTCCACGTTATATGATCCCGGCCGTCTGGCTTCCTGTTGCGTATCTCCCGCTCCTTCCTTCGGGCAAGACCAACCGAAAGGAGGTATTAAAATTGATCGAATCGATGGAAGATTCTCTGTTGGCAAGTTACCAGGACCCTCAATCTACCTCTGTTAACGGAGAGGCGGATCACTCAGCTCCCGAAACGGACGAGGAACGATTGTTAAAAACTGCTTGGGCTTCCATATTCGGGTGTAACCTTCATTCTTTCGGGACAACCTCCAGTTTCTACTCTCTTGGTGGCGACTCGATTGCGGCCATCAACCTCGTAAGCGAGAGTCGCAAACTTGGATACGAGCTCTCTGTTGCTGATGTTTTAGCATTTCCTTCCATCAAGGAGCAAGCTCGAGTTATCAAGCCTTTACTAGCAACAAATGGGAGTCTTCTCTCTACCCCTCATGTGTATGAAGTTGGAGATGACATATACGACACTTTGCATCGGTGTGGTGTTGACCAGGAGGATATTGAAACGATTTACCCCTGCGTCCCGGGTCAGGCTGAGTTTCTGACGCAAGGCCATACCGATCACCAATTCTGGCAACTTCAGACAGTGAGACGTGTCCCATCTGACTTCGATGTCCAACGGTGGATAGAGTTGGTGCAGAAGCTAACTGCGAAAAATACAATTTTACGTTCCATGTTCATCCAGAGTGTGAAAAAGGATGAGCCTCCAAAATGGGTGCAAGTGATTCTAAAAGAGGCCGTTCTGGATTTGGAGACAATATGTTACGACACCCTTGAAGAGAGGGAGCGAATTATCGACGCCTTGTGGGATGGTCGTTTCCAAGTGGGAAAGCCTTTCATTCAATACCGAATTTTAAGGTCAACAATGGATGGTACACTTGATTTGTATATCAAAATGGATCATGCCATGTACGACGGCACACTGCTTCGGATATTTGACGATCAGTTCATCGCAATGGCGAAGAACGAGGAGCCTCCAAAACCAACAGAGTTTACGGAGCTCATAAAATACCACTCAACGAGCAACACAGGAAAAATGCTCCAGTTCTGGGTGAATTTACTTGACGGAAATAAATTCGACTATCCTACCCAATCACTGGAGCCGAAGGTTGGAGGAATGGTTTTCAGATCCTTTGGAACAGAAGTCAATGACTTCGCTCACGGGACCGGAATCACCGTACCCATCGTCTTCCAAACAGCCTGGGGTTTACTCCTGTCATATCTGAGTAACAGCCTCGACGTCACGTACGATAACCTGCTAACCGGCCGCAACGTCAATCTCGACAATCCTCAACTGATTAATGGCAACTGTGCCAACTTCCTCCCCTTCCGCACTCGATTCCAAGATACCAAAACCCTCAGGACTCTCCTGCACGATACCCAGGTGCTTTTCTGGGAGACTACCGAAAACGGGATGGTTGGGCTTGCGGATATCTATAAAGCGCTTGGTGTCGATCGGAGCAGACGTTCTGCGAAGACCATGTTCTGTTTCCAACCGTTCGACCCTCCTCCCAAAACGCTCGACGCCCATATGCGTTGGATCGTGATGGGTGTGAGCCAGAATAGGATGTTTTTCAACTATGCCCTCATGTGTGAGGTGTTTAAATCCCCAACAGGCTACAAAACGAAATTCCAGTATGATCCGAAGGTGATTGACGAGAGTGCAGCAGAGAGAGCTGCAGATACGTTTATTTCTATTTTTGATTTCATTTTAGGATGTACGGAGTGTACTAGCGTTGGGAATCTGTATGGCAAATTGAAAATCGATTTTGGCGGCGGGTCCGCTGTGCCATCAGAAGGAACAGAACAAATAATGGACAATCGGAGATGCACGGAGGTGGAGTAACAACATTCATTTATACAACTAGATTTACTAAGGCATCAAATTGGAAAGCAATACATGATTTCTTTTTTCTTTTCTTTTCTTTTCTTTTCTTTTTCCCTTTCTTCCTGGAGACTGTCAAGCTCCTGCCCATCACTCAATCCGTGACGGTTATGAGAATTCAGTTGGTATCTAAATACCCCCCAGCGGAAGTGTACAGATATAGAGAATGAGATATTAAAAGGCGATTTTCGCTTCGCTTTCCCAGATTAATAAATTATTAAGCTCGGGACAGGGCATTGAGACGACCCTGCGATATAAGTCCCTAAGTCTAAATGTCAGAGGAAAAGGAGAAATGCAATATACGCGGTTGAAGAAAGAAGAAAAAGGGAAGAAATTAGTAACGGCTGATCTAGTTCGGGCGGGGACGATAAACAGAAGAACAATGGCTTCATAAGATTTGTCAATAAATATTACGCATGTGCGGTTTCTGTGTCCGTAGTCCATCGTTCATCATTATCGTAGGAGAGAAGGTCATAATATTTGTCATGCATGAAGAGTCCGCAAATTCCGTAAGAGAAATAAAGAAAAACGGTACAGCTGACGAGAGGGAGGGGGGAAACAAACAAGCTAGTCCGCCGAAAATACAAAACATGAGACGTGATGGGGTTAAAGAGATACGTGCCAGCAGCATCGAGGCGAAGAATCAGGGATGGAAATATATATGCAAATATATCACAAGAGGAAAAGGAACAAGAAAAAAAAATAATACTAAATAAAGAAAAAAGATAGAGAAGAAGAAAATTCGGGACTGCATCAACGATCCACACTCTCAATAATCATCTCAACGTCCTTGATAGGATGCAACAACATGGGAGGCAAACACATCCTCCCCTCAGTCGCAAGTTCGTATTCCTCTCCACCGACGCCATCGACTTTATATCCAAACCAGCGACGCCAGAGATTCGACGAATGGCCTGCAGAATAATACCATGTTGTGCCTCTGAAATTGTGTTCCCGGTCGCCAAAGACAGATATTTTGGATGCTCCGGTCGCGCCATTGCGGCCCGCATTGAACGTTGATTCAAGATACTTGATAGGCCACTGGCGGTCGATGTATGCAGAGTGAGGTGCGTAAACGGCTTTCAGGCCGTGATGGAGAGCCGTTGTGGCGGGCCACATTTCCGAAAACATCGTGTGGCGTTTCATGCTTGTCTCACGGTGCATTGTGGCGAGGAGTTTTCGTGATAATCGCGAGGCGGTGATGATAGCAGCGCGACGCGGGGGCAAACCCTCTGTCTTGTTAAATCCAGTCACATCGTCGCGAAGGAGCCAAGTGGTGCCTTCGGGGTCGAAAATAGGGTTAAATACAATCAAATCGGCATCCTCGCCAACACCCCACTCGTATCTGTCATTTTCGTAGGTGGTAGGGGGTATGCCTTCACCGTCGGTCTCTAAAATGTCCTGTTCGTGTGGTCGCTGCGGGCCCCAGATTGGCTTCTCGCCTTTGAACTCTGATTGCCGCTTCTTGTCAAGAGGAGTCGCCCATATGTTATTGGGGCTGCCCGTTCCAATCTCGGTTTGCACACGGACCATTTGACGGAAGTCTTCCCAAGATCCGTGAACGGATGGAATGTAGAATCGTGAACTACGTTCCCAGAGGCCCTTACGTGGTTGTTGTTTCGCCCACTTACTCACTTGATTGAATAAGTGATACCAGTGGCCCGTGTACCGGGCATCCATTTCCCAATTCCAGATGAAATCGTATTCCGGGTGCTGGTGGGAAAAGTATTGGACAGGCATGAAGCTGCTCCTATAGACACCATGGACGGGAAGGTCTCGTGCAAATGTCTCTTCCAGGCCGCCATACAACAGCCCCATTTGTCTTTCCGACCACAATATGCCCATTCCGCGGAATTCTGGAGGGAGGGCGTTCTCCAGCACGCGATTGTAAGTCTCATTGTCGGACCATATTTGCAAGTTGTCATCTTTTACCTGGATAAGGAAAATAACAGTATATTCTCCTCCAGACAGCAATGATACTTCCGAGATTAGTGAACGAAGATTCATAATCGATTCCTCATTATAGTTATAGTCACTCCAGGTTCGGATGATAAGAGCAGATCGTGGAAGAGTTGATGTGCTATTGGCAGCAATAGCACTTGCAGAATCCTTGTTGTCTCCCGGCGGGGAACTCCCCGTGGCCTGGTCTCTGGCGGCCGATGCGCCGGCTTGCATAACCGCGAAGCGATCTATCCTTGGAGGTCCGAGTTTAGGGAATCGATGACTGTTTGCTGCAGCACAGCGCTCTTGCGCTTCGGCCCATTTAACGGTCCGGAAATCAACGCTAGGGATTTCATGCCACACCTCATCTATCCCGGATCTGTCACCTTCAAGACCACCACCCGTGCCCCCCGCAGCAATGCCATAGCCTAGGCCATACGGCCCAAGACGACCAAATCTTTCAAAGCAAACATCATCATTTATTCCCAACAGCTTATTAGATCCCAAGACAGCATCAGGGAAGCCTTTAGGAATTCCGGAGAAATGGCGTACGGGTGGAATCGACGTTTTCTTATCAGGATCCAAAAAGCAGTCATTCTTGACGCCATACTTCTCAATATAGCTTTCAGACGTATAATCAGGGTAAGGATTGAAGATCAAGCTTTTCATCGCCCCAGATCTCTTGCCAGACTTCTCATTCCCCTTTGTAGCATCTGCTGGAGAATCCACAATCTTCTCCGCCATCCCATCACCCGGATATTCGGGGACATTATCCTGCCTGGATACAAGTGTCTTTATCCCACCATAATATCTCATCAGAAAGGGGAAACTTTCCCACAAGGGCGGCAATGGCTTCTGTCCGAGCGAGTCTACCTGCACAGGCCTAAATGAGGAACCGGTGATAGTGAACCGGAATAGAAACGCGATGAACAACAGCAAGCTCATAAACACGCCCAAGCATATCCATCGCATAATAGAATGTGGTGGTCTGTAGAACTGGAGTCTCTGCCTCCGTTTCGACGGCAGTATAGGCTTGCCGAGTATGGGATGAGAGGAGATTGGTGAGCCGTAAGGAGAATGGAAATAGGTGCGGGAGTCGTCATCATGGTCCAAAGATGTATCCCGTGATGAGTACGTATAATAATTCTGTTTCTCTGTGTCTATTTCTAATTTGGAACACCGTGTAATGTCATCGCGGAACTGAAAGCCAGCCACGCGGCGTGTCATTTCCTCTGCAGTGCGGACCATGACATCTACCCAGACGGAGGGGAAGAAAGCTCAATCGACGTGTTTCAAGGGTGGCATCCAGAGATTCGTCTCAGACGTTTACTCCAAGAAAATTACTGCGGGCTTGCCAGCAAAAATTAGCCAGAAGAACACCTACATCAATCAATATCATGGGCATTCGATCCGTGACAATTCAAGGACATGGGATAGATGGCGGAGGGATCTCAGGTGTAGATTTTTCCGACATTCCACTTGCCAAAAAAATACCTATCTTGAGAGAGAAGTCCAAACCGAACCTGGGAAATGATAAACCTAAAAATCAATCCCAGAAACCTCGACAACTATGGCGTAGTAGTACGTCGAGCTACCACGTGGGAGCTGTGGTCAATAGTGGGGAATCAGCCAATCACAAGACGCGGTTTGATCCTCTCATTCCACATCGGGTATGGCGTTCTTTTTCTTGTTTCCACAGCAACCTTGGACTGATGCTTGGCGCTGACTCAACCATATTAGGGCACGGTAACCTGGCTCGCGGTTCCTATTGCGGACTAGCGTATGGTACATCTAGATGACTTGATGTACAGTAGTACATCTATGAGGGAACGTGGTTAGAAAATAGAAAAGCTGCTCTCATCATGGCTAGAATCACCTTACAAATTTCAAACCAGGTCCAACACAAGTGCGCCGCTGGTTCCTGCGTCGCATACTCGTCAATGGCCGAATGCCAGGATCCCAGCAAGCATGGACCTGGCGATTGAAAGGGGATTCTTTCAACAACCCTCACCTCAACAATCATCAAAGAGGCGGGATGCAAAGAAATCACAGCAGTCAGACATCGGGCCATATGTATCATGTGAACTTGAATTTTAATTTCCATTTTCAACTTTGAAACCTGGGGTTTTTGGCGGTATCAGCGTAATTGAGATCAATCGCCTGTACAAATCTGCGGCTACATTGGAGTTGAATCATTCAAGAAATCATATATTTTTATTAACTAGTGGATCTCTAATATTTTAGTGTTGTGCTAACCGCAATTTTGAGGGATCATCATGATTTTTCTATATTTCAATTTATGCAGATTCTTGATGATCCGGAATTGAATTTTTGAATTGTGCTGAAAATTGAAAATCACAGTGTATATAAATAGTATATCTCTCATCTCTATCTTTTATTATAAAAAAACTTACAGAAAATCATGAGCTCCACACCCCAATATTTTGGTTGCTTAATATTGGAGGGCCACTAACGAAACACCGGGGTATACCATAGTATGTACGGAGTACACCCATGTCCAGTAAATACATCCCCCTTTAATACATCATTACCATGAGCACACGCCCTCTGCTCTACTCCTCCATATCAGCAGGTCACTTTACAAGCCTACATTTCTCTGACGACCTGCTCTGTACCCTGCTGCATTCCATTTCATCCGCTGTCAACAATCCCCCGGCCCCTCCAGAACTCAACTGAGGACACGTAAAATTTGGAACCACCGTGGAACCACCGTGAAACCAGAGCAGGTATCTTCCATCAGAGAGCCATAGATTTTCCTAAGTCATGTAATGCTCATTAACTAATTTTGTCCATCTAGATAAGTAACTGCGGGCAGGATTAGCAGAAGCGGCCAACATAGTAATGGGCAACCGACCATAGTTCCATCTACCTCCCTTTGAAGCTACATGCAAACTCCACATATGGCCGACAGCCGCGATGTGGGCGAATGGGCGTAACTTATTTTCGCCGTTCCCCTGAACCGTTTGCACCTCAGGAAGCCTTTGACGAGCCTCATTTTCTTCAGTCCTGTAGCCAACCATGTGGCCAACTGAAGACTCGAGGAATCGTATCCGCCATCAGAACCATTGGTTTCGACGGCAGCAAGCTGGAATTCGCATTCAACAAGCGGATCTTCTGTCGGGAGATAGACATACATCCCACCGCTTGACAATATTGTGTCTATAATTTGCCGATGTCAGGTTCTCCTTGTGAAAAAAGAAATCGAGAAACTGGCCTTTTTGAATGGAATAGAACTACCCCTGGACAGAGGGGCAAGGGAGGGAGGGCCGATTGAGACTGTATGGCTGTATATACCCCATTCCATCACTAAATGTTAAACCAGACATGCGTCACGATAAGTGGGCCAGCATTTCATAAATTTTAAGGTTATATATTGTCATCCACGGCATGGCGTCATTTATGCAGGCCTCCCACTCTAGACCGCCCACTCTCATCAGAGGAACGACACTAAGCCTTCGTTGCTTCGTCCAATGCTTCAGCCATGGCATTCCACAGATGAGAGCCATGGCTGGAAACCTCAATATCAGATGAGCCGCTGTCTCTCGTTTCACTCGTGAAGTCTATGGGTAAACGTTGTTTCAGCAACTCCCTATACAGAGAACATACCGTATATTCTATTCACATTCTACACTAAGAGGGAGGATGGTATTGTCTCAATTAAACCTCGTGAAACAATAACAGCAATTTAGGAATAGAAGATATTCTTCCATCCTCCTCTTATATTCATATCAAGAAAGGTCAAAAGACAGACGTGGAAGAAATTAGCTTTTCTTTGGGGGGGGGGGGAAGAAAAAAAAGAAAAACCATCATCATCCTCAAGGACTGGAAAAAATAAATAATACGGCAAAGGAAAAATTGAA